GGTGCTACTTTTAACATGCGTGGTCAACTATATCGCGGGCACGCCAACGCTACGGCTTTGTCCAGTGGTCAGTGCACTAGGCTCCGAGTCGGACGACCCGGGTTCTAGTCCTGGCTGGGGCAAGGCTTTGTGCCCGCGAGACGTGCGGGAAAAAAATGCGAACTCCGCTTTAGGCTTGGCTAAATCTATATATTATGCCAGGACCTTTCACTGATCGAAATAGCTTTGAAGCATGTAGTGTACCCACCATTTTTGCATCACGTTCAAAAAATGTATTGGTAAATACAAGTAACTCTTATTTTCTCTATGGCCGTGAAAGATACAGAAATGTTTAAATTGTGAGAGCTATTCTTTGCATCCGGAAGGTAAGGAAATGTTTACATCTAATGCAGGCTTGACAATTGATCCCTGGGTAACGGAAAATGAGCCCCTGCTTGGGGAGGAATGAAGAAAAAATTAGAGTCGCTTTGGTGCAAACACCTCTTTACTTGAATCCAGTAGCAACTGAGATTTGATTGAGTTTCCTTGGATCACTAAATAACTGAACAATATTATTGAGGTCTGATAACTAAAAATTAGATAGATATGTTTTTCGAAAGTAAAGATGTCTCCGTTTCTGGCTATGAAAATCTTAAATATATCAAGCAGCGCCAGTGATCGATCGTCTCTCTTCTTTAGAAGAAACCGGCCACTATATTTTTTGTACCACACGTTAAAGCTCTCTCAGAAAACCAGGTGCACTATCTAAATGTGCTTAGGCCAAGAGGATTCTTCGCCTTCAATTCTCGGTCTCTTTGCGTACTGTGCTGCGAAGCTGTTAAATAAAGCTTGTTGTTTCTTGCAGCGATTCTTTCGACTGAGAAATAATCGCTCTTTCTTCACGCCCGCAGCGTAACTATCTCTTAAAGAAATCTGTAAAAACCTTGAGATTCTGCGGCAAATGATCCAACTTTTATCGACGACCGAGGCGCTGTTTACAAATGCAAGCCGGAACCAAGTGGTTTCGTAAGCGCGATTCTAATCGAACATCGTCCTCTTCTTACTCTGTACCAAGCTCAAAATCTCTTCTTATATCCTTAAAGCAAAGTATATATTGGAATTCGGACGCTGAATCGCAAATTTAACCGAAAAATGAAAAATGAATTCACTTCAGTGTTGCTGTTTTATCTCAATAACTTTCACGCTAGCACGTGACACTTCGCAAAAAGATATTAAATTGGAAGACAGAGTGCTGGGTTTCGTGGACAGAGGAAAACTAAAGAAAAACAAACAATTACAAACACAAATACGAACTTAACCCCTCGTGATGCTAAGTCCAGAATTAATGCACTATTCCTGCGACCTAAATCTGTGGATGAGACCTTCTCTACGCTTTCTAAAGATATGTGTAAGAGTTATTTGCAGAGCAAGATGGCGACACCATCAGTGGGACATATTTAAGGTGGATTCACACCAACCTGAACACGCACGAGTGTTCCGTCCATCATCCAGAACGCCCAGAACACCTAGAAGAACTGTCTTGAGTATAAGCGAACTAAGTGTCATGGTCACCAACAACCGAATTTCTTGTTTTCACTGACTCCACCTAAACAGCTTCGATTATAATCTCAGTTGGAGGTAAACCAACCAGTTAACTGTCAGAGTGGAAGTTCGGATTAGGTTCTCAAAGTTCACCATCAGGCTCCCGCGGCACTTTCCTACTTCGCTTCAGTTCAGTTCGTCATTCGTGCAGTTTTTATCTCGGCATTCTTTTCATCTTTGCAAGCATGCCTAAAGGTCATTACTCCGTATGCTAATATACTGTTCATGAGGTCAAACTCTCTGCCAGACGCCTGACGGTTGAAGTCGAAACTCCCTTTTCATATGGGTTTCAGTTGTGGTCTGCTCGTTCACACACCCATCCAATCATATCATGATCAAACCCAATAATAGCGCAATTACGGTTTGACATGCTACTGAATTTGTCCGCAGTGATTTAAGAAAAAACTCATGAATAAAATCTGATCGACTAGAAAGTTTGCGGCAAACTTCGGCACAATCAAACAAACAAGAAACCCAACTGAGGAAGTCGGCACAAAACTCAACAAGATTAAGATCTGAGGGAAAAAATAACAAAAAGTACCTCACAAGGCTGAAAACAGCTTCCCTTTCGACACAGGGAAGTGCTCGCTTGGAAATAGCACGCACTGCTACATTGGCTAAAAATCCGGACAGGAATTTCCCACGCCTTATGTTAACGTGTTATGAAGTATTTCGTTAGTCTAGAAAGCCAGTTGATCAGTTAGTAAAGTATGACTCAGCCTTTCGTTTACATTCCGAATGTGGTTACTGTATGATTTCGAATTCTGAAGTTATTAGGGTTTGGGCTGTCGTGATACAGCTTATTCCCCGACATTTAATCACGTAACAAACGTAAGCGGTAGTAGCCACAAAAAACTATATTGGGTATAATAGGATATAAAATTTCATTAGCGTGATCGCGTTTTAATGATGTCACAAGATACTTTCACTTTCCCAATTACTATTAAAGCGGATGCTTTGAGTTAACCCCTATAAAACTATATATCATTTTAAAGTTTATAAACTATTTAATATGATAATAAACTTTCTTTTTTCGGAAATAGAGTGATGAGAATTTAAAAATAAAAAGAGAAAACTACTCATGTCACCGTTCATGTGCCTTTAATCAATTAATACGTGCTTGCGTCTTGTTTCGGAAAACAGTCTTCAGGAAGTCAGCACATATTAAGCTGACTGACTCGACTAAAATCTTATTAGTAACACGGTGCCAATTTTCAAGGGAATTGGTTTATTTCTGTGTGCTCCGAATTCGAAAACGTTTGGCTAATTGGTTCGAAAATAAAATTAAGAAGAGAATAGCTCTTCCAAAGTTTTCTTTGACGATTTGTTTACTTTGATCCGAATTTGATTTGTTTTTCTTTAATTCTCGCGAGAAATAATATTTTTATCTGCTTAAGTAGTGGTTATCGATATATTACATAAGACAGCATAAACCGACAACTTATTTTCGCAAAATTTCGTCCCTAAAAGTATTACGTGTCTATAAAGAAAAGAAACGCCTGTAACTTTCCATTAACACTGTAAAAATCAAAACGGACTTGGGGAGTGAGGATGAATAAGAGGAGTGGTAAGAACCGACAATGACAGTTTCAAATGATTACGCTTGTTTTTTTTTTTTTTTAATAGAATTTAGCTACTTATGATTAGCCCCTCTGAAATGTAAAGAATGACCTTCGAATTCGAGAAGCCACTGGAAGTTGAACATTAAAGGAAGCAGGCGAAACTTGGTACGTCTATCGTTATGGATTTTCGACCGTAAAGACTCACGTCTATTAAGTCAGATGCTTTTTATATTTTCAGTCAAGACTCATCACTATTATCAGATCAATCAGTGTCCTTATACTCCGGCAGTTCGCGTTTCATTTGACAAATTGTCGCGCGGTTGCGCGAAACTATATTTCTGGATTTGCATGTTGCATTTACATTTGCTGTTTTAAACATAGTTAATAGGATCAGAAAACTGAGCAACTGCTTTATTTTCCTTAAAGCCTGATTTTTACAGTTTCCTGCTAAACAACCGGAAGAAGTTTGCGTTTTTAGGGTTGTAGCAGTCGAGAGGGGCAGGTGATAAAAGGGCGGACTTCTTCTACCGCCGCACCATTAACTTCTCCTAAGGTCTCTTAAAAATAAGAAAACAGCAACTTTTGTGGCTGAAAATGAGGAAGTGGGAGCTCAGTTATATTTTAGCCCCATCAACCCTTGGAGCGCCACTGATCCATCTCCGCTGCAGATGTTTGAGCGACTTCGTTGGTTACATGTTTTAAGCGAAGGTACGCGAAGAGAAACACCAGTAATGTAAGTTGAACTGGCCAAAACGGCGCTAGTGTTGCTCCGAGGTAGATTTCAGCGAGGTTTACTGTTTTCAGATAACAGATGGAAAAAAACAGTGAATATCCGTACAGAAAATGTTCGTGACAAAATGCCACACTGTTGTTCGTCTGGTGTGAGAACAAATACAGCGATCACGTTTAGCAAGTAGATATCTTAATGGGGTCATCCAGAGGTCAGTGATCAGATCTGTCGGCAAAGCTCATGGGCCAAAAATAGGGAAAAGAGTTGCATGTTTTTTCAAAACCGAAAATTATTTGAGTTGAACCACGCTTACTCGGACTCCCATGGGAAACGAAACATAGTTCAACTTAGCGGGGTTCACCGCTCTTGCACAACCAACAATCATTTTTGTACTCAAATTTGCCTTAAAAGACCCTGTACATGTATTGCGTTTTCATTAATGTTACCATGTTCGTGTCAATCCGGATTAAAGATTGGAAGGTTTAATTTTCGGAAGGCTTTTCTTTGTTAACATGTGGTATAGAATGTGAGTACTTTTCAAAGGACAGGCAGACCACACTATGTGTTTGTGGATGATAAGTGTTGACGCGGGACGAACAAAATCTATGAGGGTTATGGATAAAGTTCTGAAAATTTGCATATCTAAATTACATCTCGATCTGAACATCTCAATAAAGTTAAATGAAATGTTAATCGACGAGTTTGTGATATTTTTTAGCCTTCATGAGCCGTTTGAAGCGTCTTTTTACGAAATTACTTTTGG